TGTGTCTGAATAGTCGAATGGTGTTTTTTATCCCGATGCTGACTTAACTTTTGGGAGTCCAGGGTACACACAATTTTGATAATCCATATTATACCGATACTGACTTTACTTTTGTTACATCATAATATATACGCGTCACAATCCGTATAAAATCAGAAGTTTTCCGAGATGAAAAACGAGGGAAATCGAATGCTGCCGTTGAATAGTTTGAGGACTATTCACCATGGGCAGATAGCACAAAAACTATTTCACGGCAGAGACTGTTTAGAAAAAAATAGTATGTTTATTCGTCTTATTTTTATATAGAAAAAAATAAACAGAGGTATAATAAATATATATATTTAAAAAGACATTTGAACAGAATACTTAACTTATTTCTTCTACAGTTCTGAAAGAAATCTTTCACTGTATTAATAAATTATGTTGTGTATTTTTAAGTGGTAAAAAATACTAAGAACAACCTGAAATACACTAAAAGCAAAAATCAATCAATACAATATAAAACTCAAGAAATAATTATTCATGATTATGTGTAATGATGAGATAACTTTCAGAAATAATTCAGAAAATAAAGTATAACTTCTGTTGCTGGTTTCCAGCTTTACCTGTGTGTACATATGTATAACAATAAGATTCCTTATAAATAGTGCCTTGTATATGTAGCAGAATTTGTGCAAAAAGAAGGAAACAGTTGCTATGGCATCCAACTTGATATTTAGATATATCGACGACGAATTTTCAATTAACAATGGTAATTTCCATTCCTACGTCGATACGATAATATCCTGATGAGCTTGAGATAAAAGATACCACAGAGTCCGACACTTCTGTTTCATACTTGGATATTTTACTTGAAAAGACGTTACTGGTAATCTAACGACCAAGCTATATGATAAACGTAATAACTTTAACTTCTCTATCGTCAATTTCCCTTATTTACGTATGCATCAATATACCTTCATCACCTACATATGAAGTGTATTTATCTCAGTTGATTCGATACGCAAGAATTTGCTCTACATATGAACAATTTCTAAATCGAGATAAATTATTGAAAAACAAGTTGATGAAACAAGAATATCAGCCGTCACGTTCAAAGTCATCATTTCGTAATTTCTAGGGTCAATACAATGACCTTGTCAGCAAATACAATTTATTATTGAGTTAAAAGCCGACTGACGTTTTTCATACTAAAAGTTAGCACATTATCCATACACTGAATTGACAACGGATTTTCCCGTTATTTCCTGATCATGACAAGAAGTACGCGGCGGGTGTGACCGGTCGGCAGGGGATGCTCTCTCCTCCATGGCACCTGATCCCACCTCTGATGTCCCACATGTATTTTGTTTATTGTTTTATGGACTTTGAGATTGAAACTGTTCGTTATCTCCATATCCTTCCTCCATGATTAAACTCATGATTAAAAATACTTTAAAGAAGAACTTGAAGGGGAAGAAAACGCGCGGAATGCCTATGGGTTCAAATATTAAGAAATCATATTAGTATGTAAATTGAGTTTTTAAATTAAGTTTTCATTGTTGAAATTTATGACATTATGATAAACAAAACCTCTTTTGGAGTAACATGGGAAAGAAATCTCGGATTTTTTTTTTTTTTTTTTATTTTTGTATTAAAAATATAAGATGGTACATGTATAAGTGGGATTCGAAGTGTCAGGTTACTTTCAGACAAACGTGCTAACCACTACGCTACATGGCTCATGATGAATGATGTGGCATTTAAAGCATGTTTATAATATATGACCCTAGGTTTAATAGACTACAAGATCAATTAATTCTAATATTCCTCCGAAAGATGCGATCGGTTTTTTTTTTCATAAAAGTGTCCTTTTTTGAAGATAAAGTGGGTTTTCGCTCTATGTTTTTGTAAACCAAAGAAAATATTTTTTAATTATTGCAAACATTTAGGATTAAGGAGCGAAGACCCGCTCCTACGGAAAAGAAGGGTGAAGTATGAGAAAATGACTTTTTTTTTCTTTTTCATGAGTGTATGCTATTTCATTGGCAAATATTTTCAGTCTTTCTGAGATTTTGTAAATGTAGAGATATTGCGTATTATACATATAACATTTAGTAAACTTTATTGTTTGGTGAAATATCAAAGAAAATTTGGATATAGTTGAGATGCAATTTTTCAATTCACATCTGTAGGCGATAGGCGCTTCTTCCGCGTTACCCCCCCTTCTTTGTAACTTAAGTTGTATGAATGAAAGTAACCCTTTATAATATAAGACCAAAATGAAAAAAAGAAAAGTTTCAGAGCATGAAAAGAACTAGTTCATTTTGAACATAGAGTATCTCAAAAAAAGACCCCCCCCCCCCAAAAAAAAAAAAAAAAGATGAACGACGGCAAATCGGCAATGAAGTTTAATTTTTTGTATTAGTAAAACTTTAAGTTTATAATATATAGAAACATTGTTTCCTTATATTTGGAAATACATGCTATTTGTTCAAATTATGATATATGTAAAATGTTTTGAAATCTTAAAACTATTAAAACTAATTCAAAATGTGTTATTCACTAATATTTTACTGGGAAGGGGGGGGGGGGGGGTGGTGGTAAGGGGGCTATCATTTTATAATTATATCATGTTTTAATTTCAGTTCTTGATCTTAGAGTTTAAGATATATTAGAAAACCCTAATGTTGGCCTAAATAGAGCTGTCATTAGCTGAATCAGTGTTTCACAAATACATCTTGTTTTCATTTTGAATTAGAAACTTTTCATATGTACAGCACTTTTAATGTCAAATTTTCATCGGGATCAAGATTAAAAAAATTATGTTTCACATTGGCGTCAAATCAAAACATTCACAAGAATGCAAAGACAGGTTCAACTGACTCAGAAAGATCGGCCCATAAACACTATTTTGTACTAGGTAACAGCTGTATTAAATTTTTGACTGGTATATTGACTCGATTGGGTAGATTTTTAACTAATATTTATACCTTTAAATTACCTGAGTGTATGTGACTTATTCCAACTCCAACTCATCGGGAAGCGCATGAATTTTTTTGGCAAATCAGTTAAACAATATGGACCTGACTGCCTTTTCTGTCTGGCCACACAACAGCCCATGGAGAAAGCTGACACATTAAGGCTGATTCAGCACCTAAGGACAGTTAGGGCAGACAACTCTGAGTGCAGATGGCACCTTGGACCCTGTGAGTCTGTGTCTGTTAATGGCCCTCCTGTACTGTTTTGATGTCAGTCTGTTTGAACACAAAGATGGAAGAGGTTATTCAATCCCTAATAATTTATTCATCATTTCACAATTAAACCATAATTTTATAATTCATAAATTAATGCTGTGTATAATTCATTGAAAAATATCAAGTTTGAACTTTTTTTGGCAATATACATCTCAATCTTTCTTAAGCAATTGCTTTGAAATAATAAGAATTATCAATTTAAAAATGAAATAAAAAGGTTGAAGTTGATGACTTTTGACATTTACAGATCAAGGTCCTGCAGCGTCTACCAATGATGACATACACCAGGATCTCATGTCGACACGAGCTTGGACCAACTCTGGTCTTAGTTCAAAAATCAACTGAAGGTAAAGTTTGAAAATGAGACAAAGAGCAGCACTATAGTATTATTAGAAAACTCAGGTCTTGATTGGGAAAACTACTATTGGTTTATTATACATGCATGGTTAAAACATGTCAATCAGAAGATTAATACATCCTTTATGGTACCTGCCTTAGAGTTGATATTTCTACCTTGGTACATGTATGTCCTAATACATCGTGAATGAATTTGATATGGCATAAGTGCTTTAAGATATGTTGAAAATAAACTGTAAACTCATTTTGGGCTTTATTGATATCTAAGGATGACTGGCTCTAGATTTACATGAACTTGATTTGTAGGGGTGATTGGAATTTGTGAAGAGGATGAGGTGGTTATTAACGAGGCCCTGGAAGCTAACGCTGACTGCCTTTTCTGTCTGGCCACACAGCAGCCCCTGGAGAAAGCTGACACCTTGAGACTGATCCAGCACCTAAGAGCAGACAACTCTGTGAGTGCTGATGGCACCCTGGACCCTGTGAGTCTGTGTCTGTTAATGGCCCTCCTGTACTGTTTTGATGTCAGTCTGTTGGAACACGAAGATGGAAGAGGTAAATCCCAGATTATTTATTCATCGTTTCACAAACCATAAATATTTATTCATAAAGCTTATGGATGCTTTCTAATCCATCAATTTGATGAATCTGGAAAAAAAATCATGAAGAATCTTGAAAAAAACCCCATTTTTTTGCAATATATGTCAATCTTTCTTAGCAATTTCTCTGCTTTGAAATAAGAATTATCAATGTAAGAATAAACAAAAAAAGTTAAAGTTGATGACTATTGACATTTACAGAGGTCCTGCAGCGTCTACCAATGATGACCGACTCGACCTACATACCGGACATACACCAGGATCTCATGTCTACACGAGCCTGGGCCAACCCCGGACTGAAGAGCGTGGTGCTGCTGGCCTGGGGGGTGACCCTCAGACAACTCAATCAGTACCAGACCCCCACAGGTAAAATATTTAATGTGATCAAAGGTCACACCAAAATTCCACAGGCAAAATATCAAACAACAGGTATAATATCAAGTCTTATTAAAGATGACGCCCCTCCCTAGGAATAATATAATATTTTATCTCATAAAAAGCTGGACCAAGCTTTATTTTGACACTCAGGTTTCGATTGGGTAACCTAGTAAATTTAATGTATATTAAACATAGTTAAAAATACCAGCATAAGATTCATGAGACGGTACATATTTTAGAGTTGATTATCTATATTAGTACATGTATATATATGTCATGATAGATTGTGAATCAATGTGATATGGCAAGATAATCATAATGCATGCTTTAAGATTAATTTCCAGAAAATAAACTAATTTTGGGCTTTACTGATATCTTGGATTAACTAACACTTGATTTTCATTTACTTGATTTGTAGGGGTGAATGGGATTTGTGAAGAGGATGAGGTGGTCATTAACGAAGCCTTGGAAGGTAACGTGTTCCACTTCCTGCGACTGGCTGTTGTAGCCGTACATGATTTCCATAAAGAGGTAGGTCATTTGGGGCATCAAAATTTACACATTTTTTTTTTTTTTTGAAATGAGTCAAACAAGATTTTTTTTGGACAAATCATTATTTTAACTCTTCAGAATGGATTCTTAATAACAGGGTTAGAAGTATATTGTATTATTCATGTTATGATTAACCAGCATGCTTTTTTGTTTGTAGGAATATTATCTAAAGAAAGTCCACGGGCTGGTTACAGACTTCATTTTTCATATGCCACTAAAGGTACTTATTTGACTCTAAAATGAATTGTTAATTCATTTGATCACAAAAAGATGCCATTTTTGCATGGCTAATTTTATCTGAAATAAAAATACTACAACATTTCAGAAATAAAGCAGTAAAAATAAAATAATTATATCAAATATGGGCTGATGGTTGGTGGAAAAATATTCTTTGTAAATTTTGAAATAAATATCGATAAAAATAAAATATTTCGGAAAAATAGTCCTTGTTGTAAAAAAAGAAAGAAAGAAAATTTTTACAACTTTTTATGAAGTGATATAAATATACATTGTTTAAAAGTTTTGTGCAAGAAACTTTATTGTGTATGATTTACAGGTAAAAGAGCTGCGTACAAGAGGAGATGAAGCGGCGAGAATTGCGGCATCCCAGAGTTCCTTAGAACCTCCCACGTCACCCAGTCATGGCTTCCAGTACCTACTGAGACTTATCTTAATTTCTTGTGGGAATCATCATGAAAGCTATGTTTGACTGCTTATATCATCATGTTGAACTGTCTTAAGGTGGTGTACCCTTTATTGAGATAGATAAAAATGAATCTATAAAACAGCCATTAAGTGTAATAAAAGACAGTCATTTGTGGTTTAAATAAGAGGGCAATGTACATAGACTATATGATTTTATGTAAATATACTTTAATCATTTTATTCACAGTGTTACTGTCGCTAGTGTTAAATGCTTATATTAACATAATTAAGGTTTACTGACCCTTTGACAAGAGAGATAATCCTGGCTTGGATATATAAAAATTAATTATTTCCAATAAAGAAATGAGATTAATGAAGCAATTTTTTTAAATTTAAATTTTTTTAATCACAATATATTTCCATTGTTAACATATCAATTTTCTGCTTTATCCATTGCTTGTGGCATGTAAACATCATGAAAGCCATTATCAATAATAGATCTGTGGTGTGATGGCTACCATAGTGATAAATCCTACCATGTATTTTTTTTCAGATTGGAGATTTTTTATATCAAAAATACAATAAAATCGGCAATGCCCCCTGCGCGCGGGCTGAGAACTGTCTGTTATATGTTACTGGTGTCCCTGTACAGGATAACTACGGACCTCACGAAACAATGTACAATGTTTTATATTACAGGTGTCACTGACAAGTTTGTAAAAATTACACCTCCTGCCCCCCTCCCTCTACGTAGAGACAGATGTTGACTGATATTACAGGTGTCGCTGTAAAGTTTGTCTGTAACATCTCCTGCCCCCTCCCTCTACGTACAAAAATGTTGAATGGTCTGTTTATATTACAGTGTCACTGTATAAGTTTGTCTGTTGGCGGGGACCTCCTTAAATCCCTATACGTACCCTACATCCAGATGTTGATTGGTCTGTTTTATATTACAGGTGTCACTGTATAAGTTTGTCCATTTGGCGGGGGACCTCCTGCCCCCCTCCCTCTACGTACCCTACATCCAGATGTTGATTGGTCTGTTTTATATTACAGGTGTCACTGTATAAGTTTGTCTGTCTGGCGGGGGATCTCCTGCCCCCCTCCCTCTACGTACCCTACATCCAGATGTTGATTGGTCTGTTTTATATTACAGGTGTCACTGTATAAGTTTGTCCATCTGGCGGAGGACCTCCTGCCCCCCTCCCTCTACGTACCCTACATCCAGATGTTGATTGGTCTGTTTTATATTACAGGTGTCACTGTATAAGTTTGTCTGTCTGGCGGGGGACCTCCTGCCCCCCTCCCTCTATGTACCCTACATCCAGATGTTGATTGGTCTGTTTTATATTACAGGTGTCACTGTATAAGTTTGTCCGTCTGATACATCCAAATGTTGATTGGTCTGTTTTATATTACAGGTGTCTGCAGTCTGGACCCCTGCCCCCCTCCCTCTATGTACCCTACATCCAAACGTTGACTGGTCTGTTTTACATTACAGGTGTCGCTGTACAAGTTTGTCCGTCTGGCGGGGGATCTCCTGCCCCCCTCCCTCTACGTACCCTACATCCAGATGTTGATTGGTCTGTTTTATATTACAGGTGTCACTGTATAAGTTTGTCTGTCTGGCGGGGGACCTCCTGCCCCCCTCCCTCTATGTACCCTACATCCAGATGTTGATTGGTCTGTTTTATATTACAGGTGTCGCTGTATAAGTTTGTCCGTCTGGCGGGGGACCTCCTGCCCCCCTCCCTCTACGTACCCTACATCCAGATGTTGATTGGTCTGTTTTATATTACAGGTGTCGCTGTATAAGTTTGTCCGTCTGGCGGGGGACCTCCTGCCCCCCTCCCTCTACGTACCCTACATCCAGATGTTGATTGGTCTGTTTTATATTACAGGTGTCGCTGTATAAGTTTGTCCGTCTGGCGGGGGACCTCCTGCCCCCCTCCCTCTATGTACCCTACATCCAGATGTTGATTGGTCTGTTTTATATTACAGGTGTCGCTGTATAAGTTTGTCCGTCTGGCGGGGGACCTCCTGCCCCCCTCCCTCTATGTACCCTACATCCAGATGTTGATTGGTCTGTTTTATGTTACAGGTGTCGCTGTATAAGTTTGTCCGTCTGGCGGGGGACCTCCTGCCCCCTCCCTCTACGTACCCTTCATCCAGATGTTGACTGGTCTGTTTTCTATTACAGGTGTCGCTGTATAAGTTTGTCCGTCTGGCGGGGGACCTCCTGCCCCCCTCCCTCTACGTACCCTACATTCAGATGTTGATTGGTATGAGCAGTAACCCACAGACTGCCCTCTACTGCTTTGACCTTCTGAACATCAGATGGAATGGTCTGTTTTATATTACAGGTGTCGCTGTATAGTTTTGATACCAATGCTTCTATGTACCCTACATCCAGAATTGTGTATTACATTACAGATAGTTCTAATGATGTGCCCTACATCCAGATGTTGATTGGTCTGAGCAGTAACCCACAGTCTGCCCACTACTGCTTTGACCTTCTGAAGGTCAATGGAATGGGGTCAGGTAGGGAGTTTTGATAGCTTAAGTGGAATTGTGTATCTAAGACAGTTCTAATGACACATGTTTTTCTGTGCTGTTGCAAATGGTCTTACCTGCAGCCACAGTGACACATGTAAAAACGACAATTTAAAGGTTTGAGAGCATGAATGATTTCAGCAAGCAATGAACTTTGTAAATTTAAAATTTAAATCTGTTTCTTATACAACAGAAGTTTTGTATCTTGAATATCTTGGATATGTCAAAGTAATTTAAAAGTTCCAATTCCTTTTTCTCTTAGTATTTCACCATTGATATCTCAAAAAATTTGCTTTAAAAATTAAGGTTTGTCTGTACTTGTCTTATATGAGTATTTTTTACACTAGGAGGCCCAGCCAGTGCTGTTTCCTGGCAGCATATTTTCCTGTCGCTGAATCAGTACTACGCCAGTTTACGTCGGGAGGTTCCTAGTGGTGCTGACATGTCTCACATGGGACTCCGAGGTCCCCACTCCCGGGGAATCACGCCACAGGAACTAGAGGGGCTGGTCGTTGTCCTGAAACTGTGTCGAGTTGTGTCTGAATATGTGAGTACTGTGACCAATCAGTTAATTTGTATAATGTATTTATGACGGTAAATTTCTTATTAACCAGGTAAAGAAGTAATACTTTAAAAGCCAAGATATAATCATTTTTGATAACTTGGTATAAAGACATTATTATGATATAGGGTTTGTACATGTATTATAAACTATATTCAGTAATGAAATGATTTTAATTTCCTGAAGCAATAGAAAGTCTAATCAAATGTTGAAGCCTGCATAAAGTACATTTTACAACTACTTTGACATGTGTTACAGAATGAGAACTGCCGTGTGGCGTTCTGTGAGAACCAGCAGTGGCAGGTGGCGGTGGTGTTGTTTGGTCTGGTGACCTGTAGTATCCCCCTCGATCTTAAAGCCGAGATCTTCAGGGTGCTGGCGGCATTCGCCAAGACGCCAGACGTGGCAGCCAGTCTGTGGCATACACTGGAAGCCTCACAGGTTATCATTGAAATACTGCTCTCTACTTTATATTAATTGAAATGCATTGTGTTAATTGCAGTCACATGCACCTCTGCTCTTGCCTTCCCTTTATTGTACTGTATGTACATGTATGTTGGTTTAGTGGATTAAATTGTTTACTTTGTTTTAAAGATTTTGACCACAGTTCAGAGCAGCAGTTCCTCTCAAAGTGGAATCCAGGTAAATGTTTGTTTTCTCAGGTTATATAATCTCTGTTCTTTTTTATAATTCTCCAGCCTAAAAAGAACAAAACTAAATCTTGCTGTACATGTAGAAATTTATCTAGACACCAATACACATGTGATTATACATATTGTAACTCACATGCTTGTAAGAGTTATCTACCTTTAATGTCTGTTTTACCCTGTAGGTGGAGCTGGAGGAGGTGGAGACCCGAGCGGAGGAATTTCCCATGACGCGAGCTTTCCTGTCCTTACTGGACTCCCTCACTGACATTCCTGTCCCCCCGGGCCTCGGGGCCGGTCTCAGGGCCCCAGGGTTTCAGCCGTACCTAGAGTTTGTCAAGGATAACGTGTTTGAGAAGTTTTACGCCAGAAGTTACAAGAATCCATCAGAAAAGGTTGGATATAAGATTTTTTTTTAATGTTTTGACAATGTTGTTGATGAATATCTACACAGTGACTGTACTACCATCAATTAAAATAAATTTATAGCTGAAAATGAACAATACACAGACAAAAAAGGTAGAAAGAGATTGAAAATGAAATGTTTTTCTTTTGTTATATCTTTTGAAAATGTGGCTAATACAATTTACCAGTTTAAGAACCCCTTGTGTACAACTGCATGATTGATTTCAGTAGACTTCTGGTTTAAAAACTGTAATCTGTTTATCATTGATTTCTTTGAAAATGTGGTTATTGTGTGTGATTTATTGCCAAAGGTAATTAAGTCAATGCAAGTGACTGTTGTAGGATTGATTTCTTTATTTACAGTGGGAGGTGTCCAGTGACTGTCTGATTATGTAATCTGTTCAAGATATAGAACACTAAATTTACAGTGGGAGGTGTCCAGTATTTTCCTGAGGATCCTATGTAATCTGTTGTAGGATTAGCAAGATTGGCAGTGGGAGGTGTCCATTGTGGTTATTGCTCTATATAATCTTTAGAAATACTATTTACAGTGGGAGGTGGCCATGACTGTCAAGGATTAAATTTTTGTAGGATTGATTTCTTTATTTACAGTGGGAGGTGTCCAGTGACTGTCTGAGGATCCTATGTAATCTGTTGTAGGATTGATTTCTTTATTTACAGTGGGAGGTGTCCAGTGACTGTGTGAGGATCCTATGTAAGCTCCTGCGGGAGTATGAGGTGGTGGGGAGTGACTTTGGGGAGGATCTTGTTGAGGTACAGATGGGGGGCGTGGTGCCCGCTAACAAGTCACCGGGTACATCCTGATTGTGGTGTTTTATATCTTGTAGATTTATACAGTTCAGCATTCCTCTTCCTGAGCATGCCCAGTCAGCGATGAAGATCCTGTATCGAGTGTGTCACTAGGCTCCCGTTCAGGTGGCCCTCGTCATTCTGTTCACATCACATCAGGTAACAGTATGATTTGATTAAGACCCCAAGATGAACATATTTTTTAAAGCTCTGAATTCTCCTTGAACCAAGAATTATTTCAAGTCTGGTTGACACTGAAAAAGGTGCTACATAGTGCACTGTGTCTATTTCCAGAATTAGATAAATGCGTGCACTAAATTGTTATTGGGTTCTTTCGAAATCTTATGCCATGTAATTCTTGGTTTACATTGTTGTATCATGTAAAATTCATTATTCTGCTCAGAGAGAGAGAGCACTCGCGCTCACCGACTTGTGGGGAACTCACACCTGACAAAGGACCTTTCTTATGGGGAAAGTTCAGAATTGTGGGGAACTCTCTCGTTCCCCACAAATATGGTCATGGGGTTTTTTGAATTCTACGTGTTCTACTGATAATATTTATTCGATTTGTGGTCATTTTTGAAAAAATCCCCATAAGTCCGTAAAATTGACTCGCAGTAATTTTCTCACTGCACCGTAAAACGAATGTTTGAGGATGCTGGGAAATGTTCATTCGGAACGCAGCGGAATTTAAACTGGTCCCCATATGATACCAATTTATTGCGGGCAATGGCTGCTCCGAGAATATGTGGTAAGTAGATTTTTTATCATATTTTAAAGATATTATAGGCTGAAAACTTAATTTAACTACGTAAATCATGCATGCAGTTATTTCTTACAGACGTTCGTAAAGTAACATTTAATAATGAATGCACGTAAAACTTTGGGAAAGTTTGACCCGACCTAGACCTCGGTTATTTTTTTTTTTAATTGTATCATGTTTATAGGCCTAATGGCTATCCTGTAAGAACAAACTACGGATTTATATGAATTCAGCACCCCCGGGATATGGTAAGCGTTTAAGGCTTGTCCCCATTTTTTGTGAAACGCGACTATCCTCCTCATGCCCATACAAATTATGCTAGACGGTGCGACTGTCTGGTCTTTAGCTGTTTAGTGAGGCCTGTGTGGGCGAATTAATTGTAAAAGTTAATCTGACTTAAACTGTACGTGTATTTATAAACGATGTCAGTCACACACTGACTCAGTGTCAGAAATGTATCACAGAGAACTCCACCTTTTCAAAAGGTCCATTGAAATCAGTACATTTATAGATTTACGTAGCTAAAATTTCTTAGCTTGGTTAGATTATTTAACATGTTTAATTCTTCCAAAAAAAGCTTGATTTAGTTATCGTTTTTTATCAAGTCATTCTTCCTACTTGTATATATTTCTTCGCATGCGTTGGTTTGCATAGTGTCCATTTGCCTTCATTATCTTTCACCTGCACCCTGTTCTACATTCATCCTGATTGCCCTACTGAAAATATTTTCATGATTTTAGACCATCATTATCGATGTATCATAAGTATTTTTTTTTATTTTGCTAAGGCCAAGATAAATAGATAGTGTTTCCTATTTTAACCTTAGAAAAGATAGGGTAGGTAGGTAGGAAAAACATTTTTATTTTATTTTAACATTTTATTGGCAGGCACGCTGCCACTTTCCCCCAGGATTTCACTGTCAAAATATTTCTGATTAATATGTGTACCTTTCTCAAACATGAAAAGATTAGGGTAGGTAGGTAAAAAAAATATTTTAATTTTTATAATCACTGCAACATTTTAAATTAGCAGGCAATTGCTTACACAGATGCCCCTGTTAGGATTTCAAACTGTTCATATATTTTTACTTGAAAAATAAAGATATGCATTTTTACAATTTAAAATTTTCTATCGATTGCACCTATTTTTTGCAAATTTGCACTTTTTAACACGCCCTGCTCATTTATATGTATCATAAGTGATTTTTTTTTTATTTTGCTAAGGCCAAGATATGAATAGATATTTTCTATTTTAACCTTAGAAAAGATCAGGGTAGGTTTGATAGGAATAAACATTTTTATTTTATTTTAACATTTTATTGGCAGGATTTTTCACTGTCAAAATATTTCTGATTAATATGTGTAAGATATGCATTTCTCAAACATGGAAGTGATCAAGATTGGGATTTCATTTCTAATTGTAAACTGGAATTCCGAATACTGTAATATGTGTATATAATTTGGTGCTTTCAAAATTTAGCATAATCACTGGGTTGGCATAATCATAAATTAGCGCTACACATGTATGTGCGGTGTATTGTATATATCAATATGTAAATGATTTCTTAGCAGTATTCATGAATTAGTGCATTGTTGTCTGCACCAAAGCCGCTAAAATATGAAGCCTGCATTTTAAAGTATACATACAGTAGTTTACTCATGGAAAGATATTAGCAGAAAAAATATTGAGGGTCGGCTCCTTACTTCTTAGAGTTAGGCGGGGAACTAAACATGCTGAAAACACACTACTTATTTATTTAGGCCCAATTAAAATGTCTAATAAATTCATTTTAATTAAATACTTATTGTTAATTAAAGATCACCTTTTATTTTTAAAATTTGTTACAATTCAAACCTTGGCCTTGGGGTTTAGATGCTGATGGAATAAATAAGAAACAAAATCATATGTAAAAAATAACTAAAAATCCTTTTCAAAACCTCAATTACTATTGAATTATGATTGGGCGTGGTATACAAAATAATGCGAATTGGAGGAAATGGAGAAACATAGTAATAACAATTAGATCAGCTTTTATGATAGCGAGCATATTAAAAATTTAAAATTGGTTATAAAATTGAAAGGTAATGTTGAGATTTTAAGATTCAATATCTATTATTCATAATTATTTATATTTGCTTAACTGAATTTATACCTTTTTAAATTTATTTACATATAACGATCGCGCTCAAAGTTTTGGGTCTGATAATGCTTCCTGATTTTGGTCTTTTATTTTTTTTTTTAAGAAAACCATTTGATTTCTGCACCCACTCCTCCTTTCTAAAAATTTTTAATCTGCCTCTGGTAACTTTACGCTGTAAATTTCTATTCTCATTTTAATTAAATTTAAATAAATACTAACAGCACTATCATGCAATTTCAATGACTATCATTTAAGGTATTGATTCAGTTTTCTGTCATTCCTAAAAATAAGTTGTACTGTATCGTTGATTTTTTGCATATAAAACAGTTTCTGCTCATCAAACATCCACGAGAAAGTGTTCTGTTTCGCAGTTATTGTACGGTTGATTTAAAAGGGAAAGCTCTCTGGGCCATGTCACAAGAAGGAAAAAAGTAAAATATTTTTCATACCTACCTACCCACTGTTAACAATATGGTTCAGGAAAGGGCATACATTAAGTCTTAATTTTGGCATGCCGCATGGGGTCAAAAATTACTATTGAGTGATGTGGAGATATACCTGTCTTGTAATTATAGGTAAAGATATGAACACTTTAAAAAAAATATACAATGAAATCTTTGAACTGAAAGCAAAATTATCATTGCAGGTTTTCGGGTTTTCACCACAAGAGCAAATTATACAACTTTATTCTTGAAAATGTTAGAGACTGAGACTTGGAGTCAAAGTCAACAGACACGCTTGCATGGACATGAAGGATGTAAAGAACTAGAGTATTATAACTGAAAGCATTTTGTCTGGATTTGTGTATGGAAACAGAAGGATTTAGTATTGGTAAGTCAAGATAGCTGTAAAATCTCATTTTGAACTCTATATGTGAGCAGTACTGTAAACCAACTACCAGGTAGTACACATGTACCCTATTTGTGTCATCTTTTATTTGCATATCTAATCTGTGTTGATTAATTTCCGTGACTAATGAAAGGAAACATTCTCTACAAATATAAAGCAAAATTAATAGTTCAGGGCAATTAATAATTTACTATTCACTAGTAAATGTAGGTCATGAAACTGGCAAATATTTCTTGCACTCAAATAAAAGTTGGTTTACAGTACTTCCGTTGCTCTAAAAACAGAAATAATAAAAAAAAAAGCATGCTGATATCATGTATGTTATGAAGCCTAATACATGTACATAGAAGTATATAAACCGGTATATCTAAAATAAAAAAAAAATTTGGTCCTTGTTCATGATTTCAAAGTAGGTTAAAAGCCTCATGAACATGCTGAGAAGTTGTCAGAAAATATACATGTGTGCTAACCATGCTAACTGTGTAACAATAATCAGAAAATTTTACAAAATATAATCAAAATTTGGTTAATAATAATTAGTCATTGGCCAATTAAATCCATCAATGATTAAATTAGTACTTATATATACTGTCTCCTGATTTTATGACTTTTTATCCTTTTCAACATACTTATTATTTTTGAATTGAAAACATTTTTTTTTACCTGAGAAAATTAAAATTTGCAATTTGTTTTAAATCTAGTGAAGGAAAACAAATGTTTTTAAAATTAATGTGCTTTGATTTAAAAGACTTGTAAACATTAGATTAGTAATACATGTAGTTTCAATACAATTATTAATATTGATGATTGATTTTTTTTAAGATTTGATAGTTATTTTATTTGTTGAAAAATAATTTTTATCTGTAATGTTCATGTATAATAAAATAATGCATTTCCCAATAAGTGATAAATGTTTCCCACAAGTCAGCAATATACACTGAAGTGTACATTTATTGGTTGGGTTCAAAGGCAACATTTATATGGAAACAAAGTTTTAAGGGTAAAGCAATGGTCAATACATGTGTATTCCTCACAAGTGAACAGTGAGAAATATTCCCCACAAGTCAGCAGTGATAAATATTACCAAAAATTGTAAACTGTGAGAAATATTCCCCAAAGTTATTGTTAACTGTGAGAAATATTCCCCACAAGTCAGCAATGATAAATATAACCTACGTGAGAAATATTCCCCACAAGTCAGCAGTGATAAATATTCCCCACAAGTCACCAATGAAAAGTATTACAAGTTAACAGTGATAAATATTCCCCACAAGTCAGCAGTGATAAATATTCCCCACAAGTCAGCAATGAAAAGTATTACAAGTTAACAGTGAGAAATATTCCCCACAAGTCAGCAGTGAGAAATATTCCCCACAAGTCAGCAATGAAAAGTATTACAAGTTAACAGTGAGAAATATTCCCCACAAGTCAGCAATGATAAGTATTACCTACAAGTCAACTGTGAGGAATATTCAATAACAACATACAATTATTTTAACCCATTCTCAATCAAATTTGGGGAGTAAATTGGAATTAGCATGTCTGTCTATCTTTCTATAGGCATTACATATTGAGGGATAATGGTGGCATTATTTTTTTAGGAAATCTCACATCAACTTCCTGTTTATCTGTGCGTGTAAATTTTTATGTTTTTTTTTTCAGCAACTACTATGGTAGCAAGAAGTTTGAAATTTTTTAACACTCTTTGTCGAGGCATATTATATACTGGTAGTGAGATTCATTTTTATGCAAATTCGATGTCAACTTCCTATATATCCACGTGTCTCGAGATCTGTACGCAATTTTTGTTGCAGTTTTTTCACCAACTGACTATCACAGATATAAAAATGTGGTACATGTATCCATTAGATTGAACCCTAGCAATAAAAATCCTGAGTAGCATTCTCTACTGAGACTAGCAAGCTAACCACTATGCTACACAAGTCCTGATGAGGATTGGCATTTAAATCATGTTTGTGATATGACCATTGACTCAGTGGACTTCAAGTTTTTCTCGAAAAGATACAAAAGTTATATCATAAAATTATAATTTTTTAAAAGGTTTATTGGGTTTTTACTCCATAATTTTGGAAATCAAAATAGTATATTTCATTTTGTATGCAAACTTTGAGGATAAACTTGAAAAAAAAAGTGGAGTGAAGACCCACTCATACATTTCAAAACATTGTTTTAAAAAGTGTGTAGTGTTGTTATGATAGTCGCTGACTATCGAAAAATCGTCGTTTAAAGGCCCAGATTGGCGACAATCGATTGTAAATATTATCATCGATAGATCACTATATTTTTCAAGCCGTATTTCTCAAGCCGAGCAGGTTTAACTTTTATATTCACCAAAGGGACATCACTCTAATCAGCAGTAAACAAAATGAGAACGTGCATGGTGAAGAGGTTATAATTATTATATCCATATCCTGGTGCATTGTCTTTTTAAAATACTTCTAAGGATGAATAAATCTAACCTTTTATAACATTTAAAATTATCAATTATATAATTATATAAGTGATTGTGTTCTTCCGATTCAATTTGATAATAGTAAATTTGTCCAATTTTACAACACTAAAAGTGTGAAAAAATGACTCAATTTGCCCTTTTTCGCGTGTGTATTATATTTTACAGGCCAAAAACTTCAATCTTCATGAGATATGTATAAGTTGTAGAGATTTGACAGATTTACATAAAGTATACTTTAATTTTAGATGAAATATTTCGGAAAATTTTGATACAATACTTGATATCGCGATTACTTAACTTAGCTGAACTCTTTCATGAAGGAGGTAGGAATCATCTGTTGGGTGGGAGCAATGTGCTATTCAATACAATTAATGCAAGATCGATCATTGTAGCATTTATAAGGACAGATAAGTAAAAAATCCTGGTGGAATACCTCGCTAGACAATCGCTGAACCAGCCTTATACATTTTTGAGAGGAGCCAATCCTAAATTGTCACATTTTTAAAGATATGTTTAATTAAGCGGACTCTTATAGTTAAATTTTCATTGAAAATCGTCACATTTTTCAGTATATAAAATATTCTTAACTTTCCTTATTTGACAATCTACTATTTGGAATTCAATATCTGGCAAAACATCGTGATTTTGGCATTAAATTGTTTGAATCATTCGATTGTCACTAATGTAAACAATGTCATTTGCCCCCAGAAATTTAGACTTTTCTTGACTCCCTCGCAAAAGAGCGGAGGTAAGTTAGATAACTGCGAGGTACTCATTGGTAGTCGCGACATAACATATTGAGATTTAATTTTTTCACCTTCATGTTTGTTGCGCTATAGGCTTATCCCTTGTTATGTTCTCGGACTCCCATCTCATTTATCATCCAATAATAAAATACATTTCCAAAGCATGTGAATTATATTTAGATGATAATTAAATACATATGATAAACAATATTTTTGCCCTTTCTACTCTTCATGCATATAACATGTATAAAGTCCACAACAATAAAATGATTCATTTGATTTTTGTTAGGATTTGTTCATCGACATCCAACATATTGTTTACATGTTTATGTTACGTTTGTCCCAGAAATCCTGAAAGATTTGTACACTCTGCAACTTTTTTACAGAGGAGCGCACTAAAATCTTAAACTCTTCCATAGTTGAAATAAGACGTATTGGTAAATAGATTTTGCCCTGTAGTCCATCTGGCTGTTTGTCCTCAAAAACTTTAACCTTGCTCATAACTTTGGAGTGAGTGGGGCTATGGCTTTCATATTTCACTGCTGTACACTTGTATTTCTTGTGACAAGACCTTTCTTTGGGTACCACCACCACCAAATTTGACCTCTTGACCTTGAAGTTTGACCACTTTTACAAAAATATATCACTCTTCAACCTTAGTTATAACTTATAACTTTTGCACAGTTGGTGTTAGGGCTTTCATACTTCTCATTGGTATGTTCAATAATTTTTTTGACAGGTCTGCCCAAGTTTTGTATTAAAACGCTTCTGAAACTCATCTGTAAAAAACATTTAATATTGTTGGACGATTTAAACATTTCGGGAAAATAGCAAAAAAAAATGAAAACGTGAAAAAACAAGAGGCCCATGGGCCACATCGCTCACCTGAGCACTGTGGCTAGGAAAAACAGAATTGGTTTATACTAGAAAAGCTTAAATACAAAACTAGTCCCAAGACCAATCATGGCTTTGCTATTCTTGAGAAGAAGATTTTTAAAGAATTTTCCTATATATTTCTATGTAAAACTTTGGTCGGCCATTTTGGCCCCGCCCTAACCCTGGGGGTCATGAGTTGCACAATTTGAATCTACACTACCTGAGCATGCTTCCATATAAATATGATAAATTATGGCTTTGTCATTCTTGATTAGAAGATTTTTAAAGAATTTTCCTATACATTTCTATGTAAAACTTTGGTCGGCCATTTTGGCCCCGCCCTACCCCTGGGGGTCATGAGTTGCACAAATTTAAATCTACACTACCTGAGCATGCTCCCATATAAATATGATGAATTATGGCTTTGTCATTCTTGGGAAGAAGATTTTTAAAGAATTTTCCTATATATTTCTATGTAAAACTTTGGTCGGCCATTTCGGCCCTGCCCTACCCCTGGGGGGTCATGATTTGAACAAACTTGAATCTACACTACCCGAGCATGCTTCCATATATATATGATGAATTATGGCTTTGTCATTCTTGAGAAGAAGATTTTTAAAGAATTTTCCTATATATTTCTATGTAAAACTTTGGTCGGCCATTTTGGCCCTGCCCTACCCCCGGGGGTCATGATTTGAACAAACTTGAAACTACACTACCTGAGCATGCTTCCGTACATATATGATGAATTATGGCTTTGTCATTCTTGAGAAGAAGATTTTTAAAGAATTTTCCTATATATTTCTATGTAAAACTGGTCGGCCATTTTGGCCCCGCCCTACCCCGGGGGGTCATGATTTGAACAAACTTGAATCTACACTACCTGAGGATGTTTCCCCATAAGTTTCATCTTTCCTGGCACAGTGGTTCTTGAGAAGAAGATTTTTAAAATATGCCACTAACTTTTCATTAATTCCCAATTATCTCCCCTTGAATGAGGGCGTGGCCCTTCATTTGAACAAACTTGAATCCCCTTCACCAAAGGATACTTTGTGGCAAGTTTGGTTGAAATTGGCCCAGCGGTTCTTGAGAAGAAGTCGAAAATGTGAAAAGTTTACAGACAGACAGACGGTCAGACAGACGGACAGACAGACAGAAAGACAGACGGACGCCGGACAAAATGTGATCAGAAAAGCTCACTTGAGCCTTCAGCTCAGGTGAGCTAAAAAACTATGAGGTTCGGAGAGTAAAATGGAGGATAGGTCAGGTGACAGGAAACATGAGTACAGTCATGTATATTTTTTATGCCCCGGTATACCCCTGCGAGACGATCATGAATAATTCATGAATTTCCTTGAATTTTTCATGAATTTAATTCATGAAATGTTCATGAAATGTTCATGAAGATCCTATGAACTTATTATTGGACATTTTCAAATCATGAATTTTTATTATGAAAGAAAATTGATGAATATTCATGAATATTTTTTTTCATGAATAATTCATGAAGAGTCATATTCATGAAGATTCATCATTTCAAGAATGTCCAATAATAAGTTCATAGGATCTTCATGAACTATTCATGAATAATTTGATGAATTTTTTCAGGAATGTTCATGAATGAATAAAATTCATGAACCATTAGCATTCATGAATATTCTTGCTTATTCTTAAACAAAAAATGAAATATTATTATTCATGTTTATTCATGAAAATGCATGAAGTCATGCTAAAAAAGTAACAGTAGATGATTTATAATACAGCATTTTGAAAGATTTTACAGAAATGTTGTTTGTTTTCCAACCATGGCAACAAAATCTTTGTTAAAAAAATTAAAATAGACAATCTGACACATTAAACCATAGTAAATGAGTAATGTAGTTCATTCCTGGTAAAAGTATAAAAAAATTCAATTCAAATGCAACTCTTTGCAGAATGTTTAACCTTACTTGGTCAAAAGGAGAGGGGGATCCTTCCTCAGCATGTTTCAAATTGTGTTTTAATGCCAGAAATTGAACAGTTTTTAATTCCAGTCTAGGAGAAAAGTTTGTTCAGCACCAGGGAAACAGTTTTCAGTGCTTTCAAGCAGTTCGAGCAGAGATGGTCAATTCAAAAATCCTTATTGTCTCTCCATGTGGAATATCCAGAATTTCATCATTTGGATCCTTTGATTGAATATCATTCATATTTTCATTTCTTTTTTTGTTTCTTTTTCAAGCTAGGGCTCAGATATTTGTGCAGCCAGAGTTTCTTCTCTTCTGCTCATCAACATTTGTGAACTGCTTCTCTTTTTCCTTCAAAAAGAAATATTTTCTGAAAGTGCCCATGATTGTAAAAACATAAGTCTTTTTTTGTATTTTCTTGCATTTTAGATTCATTTAATTTTGCATCAGAGACACTTCCAAATTAAAACATTCTGAGTGGAATTTAAGCCTAATTTCTTGGACCACTATTTTGTAGATCAATCAGGCCTATGAATGTTTTGAGTCTCAGTCTATAATTAATGTATGTTATATGGTTGGATCCAAACTCAAAGCAAAGTTAGACAAAAATTGCATCTAAAAAAAGACATATCAATTTATTATAATGTGCTTTAATTAGTTGTTACTTTACAAATAGACAGTAACATTTACAGACAGATTTCTGACTCAGTAATTGTCCCCATTTTTTGTCACTCACCAGTTATGAAGTAGATCGATCCTATATATAGTCTTCCTTCTTCATATTCTGTTGTTTTCTTTAAAAGTTGACAAAGATCAGTGACTGTACTGTTTATTGGACACACCTTGTGAGAGGGTGAAAAACTACAAATTACAAAAGCATAATAAGAATTTGACAAAATATCAAAATCATAATCAATCATACAAAATTAAATGCGTAACTTTAACATGTGAGCTGAACAGGCCTATGCCTATCGCATGCTGGAAATGCGCGGTTTTACAAAACATTGTAGTTGCAGAATTTAAACATGATAAAATATATTGCATAATACTGTTAGATACAGATGATCAAGTTAGATATAAATTCAAGTAAAACAATATAAAACTTACTCCTTAGGGAGGCCAACATCACCAAACTTCACAGCCAAAACGAAACGCCAGGCAAACCGCATGGCTACCATAATTAGTATAAACAGAATATTGAACCCGATCGAAATAAAATTATGCAATTCGAAAACGGCACAGTGACTATGCAAATAACAGATCACAAATACTGATTCTTCCACACTACAAATTCCCATTTCCAACGTCTCGCGCGTTTTCAAGTTTGCGCCTATTCAAAAATGTACGGTAGAGCTAAGAAATACCTTAGTTTCGAATTTCCAAGATTTCTGTTTAAAAAAAAATTACAAACACTATCTGAATAACTTTTCACTGAAAATACAATATTTTAAATCAAAATAAGTTTTATCAATGAAGAATTCGAATTTTTTACGTCATAAATTATACATGTATTGACTTTTAGTTTCGTATAGCAAGTATGGCGGCCCCCTAAGACATGATAATAACAATCTCTCGCCCTCAGACAGAATATTCTGAGCTGTGAAGACGCATAGGAGAATTAAAACTACAAAATACGAATGTGGATCCTAGATACTTTACAACCATGCAGTCTGTGCTCTATCATTTACGCACGAAGCAAGGGAAACTTTTGACATTTTAACTGCACCAAAATAGAAATGTATGTAGCGTTTCGATCCAGGAATAATACGGTACAGTACAGACAAGTGATATCATTTTTAAGTTGTTAATAAATATATAAAACGTTTTTTTACGAAGCTCACAAAGTTCATTTTCCAGAATGTTTCATTTTCCAACAACTTGTTTAAAGTTTGATGTTAGAGAAAATTCGGTCGAACAAAGTTGTGTGATGAAAAACGACATTAATTAAAGCACATTATGATGAATATATCTGTTTAATTTAAATTATGAAGAAACACAAGTAATGAATTTGAAAAAAAATTGTGATGCAGTGTTTGTTTAATTAAAATCAAATAAAAACACTAAATGTTCAGAGATTTCATGATTTATTTTTTCAGATGGTGAAAGAATTATTATTAAACATATATTATACCAGGGGCTTGTTCAACAATTGCATCTGCATGCAAAAGTTGTATTATGAGAGTATTGAGTGTTTTCTGTTAATCATTTTTGTCAATTATTTTAGTCTTCATGAAAATTCATGAACATTCATAATACCTTGAACTCTACATTTTTTCTGTCTTTAAAATGAAAATAACCAATATTCATATATATTCATCATTTGTTCATGAACTACATTTTATGAATATATTCATGAATAAAGTTCATGAACCATCTTTATGAACCAGTCATGAACCAGTCATGAACACATTATGAATGTTCATGAACGATTCATAAAAGTTCCTGAAATCATGAATTTCACCTCGCAGGGTAAGTGTCATATTTGATATTATATGGAATATGTGATTTGCAGCACATTTTTACTGATATTTCTTTAAATTACAGGTATCCTGAATTTGTCAACTTCTAGCCAAGATCCTGTAGGTAAGCTGAATGTGGAGGACAGATGTACACACAATACTAGAATAGAGGGTAAGTAGACCATAAAAAAACAAGATGTGTTTGTGAAACACTATGCACCCGGCGGCAACAAAGTTTGGAAAAAGCTATTTTTAGCATTAAGGTCACAGTCAAGGTCACAAAGTCATTGACCTTGGTGTCATTTGAAAGAGGTTGATTAGTGGAGTATGGAGTGGACTCCATGCCACTAAACTGGAAGTGAACACCGCAGTGAATATTTTACGTAATTGAAGAAAGAAAAAAATTGTATGTAAATCTTCATGTACAATATTATGTTTCCATATGTGATCAATTAAAAAAAAATATATTTTTAAAACAAAATAATGCCTCATCAGGTCGGTAAGACAAGCTGTTTGGCTCTTTGTTGACTTGGCTTTTCAATGATTTAAATTTGGCACCGTGTAAAAATAGAATTATCTGTCCCTGGTACATATCGTCTTACAAGTAAGAAAAAGAATTGATAACTTTTAAAGTTTTCTTAAATATGTTTAAAATAACTGAATCAAAATATGTTGAATAATTATTTATTTTATTTCATTTGAACAAGCTTTCATCATCATGATCATGTTCATAGGTCTACGTCAAATATACACTGCGAGATTTACTTCCAGTTTAGTGGCATGGAGTCCAGGATGAGCTGTTAAAGTGGAAAAAGGGTCAGAAACGGCCTGTAGTCGTCAAGCAGATTGGATTTCTTAACTTGAATAAATAGTAAAACGCTCCGAATACTGAATTTGTTGCGAGATTTTTTAGGCCAAGCCCAGATCTATTAGTTTAAGTGTGTCGATCCCCCCAAAACATATTGCCATCATGGTGTATTTTAGTTGAAGGTAGGAAAATTTCTTTCCGGATTTTTTTTTTTTTGATGATAAGAACTTCAGACTCCTGTCATATAACATTTTTAAAAATATTTATTGATTTTTTTTAAAGTCACTTGCCCACGGGCATGTACCTATTAAAAAAATTCACTTGCCTCCCCCCCTTAAAAATTCACTAGCCCCGGGCGTCGGGCAATGGGATTTGTCAGACCCTGGTAGTGTAGATTCAAGCTTGTTCAAATCATGACCCCCCAGGGGTAGGTTGAGACCACAATGGCCGATCAAAGTTTTACATAGGAGTATATAGGAAAAATCTTTAAAAATCTTCTTCTCAAGAACTACTGGGCCAGGAAAGATGAAACTCATGTGTAATCATCTTCAGGTAGTGTAGATTCAAGTTTGTTCAAATCATGACCCCCGGGGTAGGATGGGGCCACAATAGCTGATCAAAGTTTTCCTAGGAGTATATAAGAAAAATCTTTAAAAATCTTTTTCTCAAGAACCACTGGGCCAAGAAAGATGAAACTCACCCGGAATCATATTCAGGTAGTGTGGATTCAAATTTGTTCAAATCATGACCCCCAGGGGTAGGGTGGGGCCACAATGGCCAATCAAAGTTTTACATTGGAGTATATAGGAAAAATCTTTAAAAATCTTCTTCTCAAGAAACACAGGGCCAGGAAAGATGAAACTCATGTGTAATCATCTTCAGGTAGTGTAGATTCAAGTTTGTTCAAATCATGACCCCCAGGGGTAGGATGGGGCCACAATGGCCGATGAAACTCTTTCATAAGAATATATATGAAAATCTTTTTAAATCTTCTTCTCAAGTACTTCAAAGCCATGATTAGTGATATTTATATGGAATCAACCCCCTTAATGTATATTTTAGTTTGTTCAAATCATAACCAAGCGACCCCCCCCCCCACCCCCACCCCGCCTCTCAATTTTTCAGTTTTGACCTGATCTGTGCTTTTTCCTAGACAATGTGCTCAGGTGAGCCCCGGTCAAATAAAAAGGTCAAGGATTAAAATCATTCCAAGGTCCGAAACATCTCGATCTTGTCTCACAAAAGGGACATCAAAAATTAAAACCAAAATCAAATGTTACAATGAAAACAAGACTCACCGGGGTAGGGCGGTGCCACAATGGCTGATCAAAGGTTTACATAGAATATATAGGAAAAATCTTAAAAAATCCACTGGGCCAGGAAAGATAAAACTCTTGTCGAAGCATCCTTAGGTGGTGTAGATTCAAGTTTGTACAAATCATGACACCCGGGGGTAGGGCAGGGCCACACTGGCTGATCAAATTTTTATATAGAAATATATAGGAATTTTTTTTTAAAATCCTTTGCTCAAGATCAGCAAAGCTATGATTGTGATATTAATATGGAAATATCCTCAGAGTTAATTCAAGTTTGTTCATAACATGATCTCTTGGGTTTAGGGAGAGTTAACGAGGGGTCACAATGGGAGATCAAGTAATATGTAGGACAAATCTTCTTTTCAAGTATGGCAAAATTTAGCTGCAGATCTGTAGCACTATGGTTTTATAATTTGTCTGACTCTAACGCTACAGGTCCCGTAATGCAAAAAAGGTGGAATTTACAGGGGCATTGTTTGCGCACTTTTGGGGAAAATTTTTCCATTTTCTAGCATTGGTCAATCAACTACCTTTCCATTCCTAATTCTGGACTTATTCTGTATAAAATAGTGTATATTTTATCCACCTCCCAACCATTTTTAGTTATATCTACAGTTAAAAAACTCACTTGAAGTGAATTTTCAGCAGTACATGTATAACATATAATTTTAATCAAGCGAGTTCTCAAGTATTAAAAAATTTCATCCCCCCCCCCCCAACAAGTAAACTTCAATACTGAGCTGACTTGTGTTTTTTTAACTAGCCCATGTGCTCAGGTGAGCGATGTGGGCCCATGGGCCTCTTGTTTTCATTGTAACTTTTGATTTTGGTTTTCATTTTTGATGTCCCTTTTGTGAGACAAGATCGAGATGTTTCGGACCTTGGAATGATTATAATCCTTGACCTTTTTATTTGACCTTAATTCAAAATATTGCTTTGGAATTGACAATATATGATAGGGAATTAATATTTAACACAATATGCTATATATAATAGCACCTTACAAACTAAGACACCGAAAGCGAGGGACCACAATTATTTGAATTTGCTTGATTACATTGCTTTAAATGCTCAGAAATGATGTTTTCTAATTTCAGGTATTATCTCGGTACCTTAAAACTCCAAACGACAGGGAGAAGAAGAAAACTGCATATTTCCGATGTATCTTCACAGCAACATGACCCAAAGCACTACCATTAAATTTGAAAGGATTTGATTTGACATTAAGGAAGTAAAAAAATGAAGGCATTTTTCGCGTAGTCATATATATTCTTAAAATTAAAGAACTTTATGTCTGAATATTATATCAACAATACCATAGATCTAAAGATGGATTATTTTGCCTTATAATTTATATTAATGCATGTACATGTAATTTTATTCTTTTTATATATACAATCATGTAGTGTTACCATTTTTCACAAAGCTTAAAAAGTTATGTAGGGCCACACCAATTTAATTTCTTGTTCGTCGGACATTTGATTTAAAAAAAGTACAAGCAGTTAAATGATAATATTATTACTCTTTGCTGGGCAATTTTTTAGGCGGAGCGTGAAAATTTGAGCGGACAATTATATTTTTTCTGATTTACAGAGTAAGCAGATATAAAATACAATAAATAGAGCGGAAATGGAACAGAAAATAGCACAGAATTCCTATGGTGCGAGAAATTGAAATTAATATTATTTGTATGGTTTTGTTTAAATAAGCGCGTGGGTCCGACGAACAAAAATTTTCATTAGTGTGGCCTAGATCATTTAGATTCAATTCATTTTTTTCTTCAAATTACCACATGCCAGAATTCATAAGAAGGAAATTTATATATGGCTGGTGGTTGTGGCCATTTTTAGACTATATTGATCTCCTTTAGAAGGAGAGCTCCTTATAAAATTATACAAAAAATGACCAAATTTTAAAACTAAAATGTACAGAATTTTTCTTTGCCAAATGATAGTTCATAGAACCACAATTCTTCAATCATGTCTACTTGGAGATCAGTGGATGGATATTCATATACAATACACAGCTGAAGCAGGTTTTGTTAGGTTATTTTATTTTCAAAAGGAATGCATTATTTTCTTCAGTCCATTAATGTTAAGCTCTTTAATAGAAACAATTGTAGAAGATTTATCATATTTTGTTTAGAATTTTGAAGAATTTGTTAATCACTCAGTGAAAATTATCCCTTGTCATAATACAAATTTTTAAAATGTATGTACAAATACTTTTATGTTGAAATGACCATGCAAGGAAGAAAATAAAACAAGTTTAAGTGTACACTTTATGCTTTTATATCTAAATTGGCTTCTGTGGAAGGAGAAAGGTTCATATAATAGTATATTAATTAAAGGAGAACATAATGTCCTTTAGAATTTCAGTAAAATTTCTTGACTTTCATGTTAAGGTCATACGCAACGTAGTTTTAACTTTTTTGGATTCTGCCTTGGAGTTGAAGAGTTCCACTAAATGAAGGGCCTGTTTGCAATATTTTTAATGTCTATATATGGATTTGTACACCTCTTCTAAAACAATTTTTGATGGAAAAAAATCTGGAATTCATGTTTTATAATTTTTGTACATTTTTATTTAAATAATGCAAAAATTTTCAAAATTCGATATCTTTTCAAAACCCCTGGAAACGCATGCTGATTTTTTGTCCAAGAACATTTAATGATATTATAAGTTTAAATTTAGAATATCTTGGAAAATTATCAGTAGGTAAGGTACGTTGTGTATGTCCTTAATAGACATGAATTTAATTCGAATGGGGGTTGCATTCCATTCCATCTTGTTTTGAAAATGAAAGGATTAACTTCCATTGTAATTGTCGTACATCTCAATACATTCATATACTAGAATGAGTAGATTATATAGAAGAAATTTGAGAAAAAAAGGAAAGGAAGTAAAAGTCAATACATGTGAATAAGGCCACACTGTCCGTCGGACATTTGATGAAAAAAGTACGAGCGGGGTAGCGGTTAAATAATAATATTACTTTTTTGAAGGCAAAATTTTAAGGCGGGGCGTGAAAAAAATTGAGCGGACAATTATATTTTTTCTGATTTGCAGAGTAAGTAGATTAAAAGTACGATAAATAGAGCGGAAATATAACAGAAAACAGCAAAGAATTCCAATGGTGCGGGAATTTCAAAGAAGATGGGCGTATAAGGCGGGCAGAATGCCTATAGCGCGACAGGTAAAAAGTGAAAAAAAATTAATCTCAATTATATCCAAATTTTATGTCATATTTAATCTAATATTAAAGTATACTTAATGTAAAATCTCTATAATTTACAAAAATCTCACAAAAACTGAAAATATTTGCCTATGAAAAAGCACACACAGACTTAAAAGAACAAAAACGATCATTTTTCATACTTTTAACAGAATTTTTCAATATGAATGGGTCTACGCTCCATTTTTTTGAAAGATAATCCTAAAAGTTTGCGATAAAATATATATTTTTTGGTTTACCAAAAAATGGAGAGAAGACCCACTATACCTTAAAAATACAATTTTATGACAAAACATTCGCATCTTTACGAGAAATACTTCAAGTCCATTAAGTCAAGGGTCATATCGGAAACATGATTTAAATGCCACAACAACACATGAGCCATGTAGCATAGTGGTTAGCGCGTTAGTCTCAAAGCAGTCTGATACATCGGTATTTTATTGCTGGTGTTCGAATCCCACGAATACCATAGAATATTTTTATGAATGAAATTTTTTAAAGATATTTATTTTTTCTCAGAAAATGTTTTTTCCTCATAATTTCATAAATTTCAATGATGAGATGTAAAATTAAATACTCAATTTAAATATCAAATGTGATTTCTTAATATCTGACGCCATAGGCATTCTGCCCGCCTTATCCGCCCATCTTCTTTATATTATTTGTATAGTTTTGTTTAAATAAGAGCGCGCGGGTCCGACGAACAATAAATTTTATTGGTGTGACCTAATTCCTAGCTGCAGAACTGTAGCGTTGTGGTTTTAAATATTAGTCTTGTCCATAAAGCTACAGATCCCGTAATGCAAAAAAAAAAGGAACCATTTACGGCTGAAGATTTTTTTTGCGCACTTTGGGGGAAATTTATCCTTTTTCCAGCATTGTTCAATCAACTAACTCTCACTCCCGAATTCTAGACACATTCTGTAACCAATCTGTATATTTTATCCACCTCCAAATCCTTTACAGTGGTAAACTGATTTGATTAGAATCGTTTGTTAAATTGCTGAAAATACACTTCAAGCGAGTTTATCGCCTGTAGAGACTGCTATCAGGCATGTAGCATCGTTTTTGAAAGTGGAGGGGGGGGGGGGGCAACCAGAGAATTTTTTTTTACTTACCTGTAAAAGTTGACAAGCATAAAAAAAAATTCCCAACTTTTTCCAAGGCCAACTTCCTTTTACTTCCAATTTTTTCGCATACAATACATACAATACTACATTTCCTTCATATCACTATACGGTGGTAAGAATTGGGGGGGGGGGGGGGAAACCAACTTTACAGTGGACATTCTCAATAGTAAAGGTAATGTTGGGGAAAAAAGTGTGTGGGGGGGCTAGGCCTCCTCCTGGCCCCCACTGTTGCTACGTCCCTGACTATAAAGAGTTGAGAGGTGGATAATATAAACAGATTGTTGAAAGAATGTGTCTAGAATTAGTGAGTGAATGGTAGTTGATTGATCAATGCTTAAAAGTGGAGAAATCCCCCCCCCCCCCCAAACTGCGCAAAACGCAATGTTTTCACTCAGGACCAGTGGCTTGCGAGGATGGACTAAAACTATATTAAGAACTTCCTGAACTAGTTTTGAAATTTTTTCTCCGGAATTGGGGGGGGGGGGGGGTTACTTTTTTCTATGCATAAATAAAGACAAATAATAACCCCATTGAATATGTCCGTAGAAAAAGTTCTGTCCTTTATGGAGTAAATGTAAATGTCTCAATAATTTCCGAATATCCCTCGTATATTGATAATATTACATTATACCATCATTGTATTTTTTTTTAAGGTCAAGGCAATGACTCAGAATTTAGAGGAGTAAAGGGCTTATCGAGCCCAAAAGGGCAAGGAGAGCGTTGTTTTTCAATTTTAAAAAATCAGTGATCGTCATGACAGAAAAAAAAACATCAATGAAAGTTTTATATGATTCAACGATTAAAACTGATGGAGCAGACATGTCAAGTTTCTTGTTTAAAAGTCAGAGACATGCAAACCCAATGAGACCATCGGAGCTAACATCAGCTTAATTTAACCAGTATAAGTTTTGTATTTGAAATCTTTTTTGGCAAAATGTAGAAAAACAATAAATATCGAAGCATACCAATGAAAGGTGTATTTTAAGAGGCAAAATGACAAATTACCTTAGAAATATCTTGGATCAAAAAGTTTTGTGATGTAAGGGTGATTTCCTTTTACTCTTCTGTATCAAATTTAAAACGTTTGGGGGTAGCATGAAAAGGACAATCAGACTTCCAGTGAACATTTTAAATGTTAAAAAAGAACAACAACAAAAAAATACGATCATGGAAATAGAAGTGGGAGGAAACTCCACCCCTCCTGATTCTATCACCCCCTCAAATCAAGGATTTTTGATCCGCTCCGCTTTATATATGCGGGCATCAAAAACCGGAGGGCAAGCCCCTTCTCAATTTCCTAGTGCCTGAATATGTTCGTTTGAGCGAAATTCGGATGCAGATGATATAACTTTTCTGAAATTGTTTTCAATCTACTGTATTTTCAGTTCAATTTAGGAATGAAATATCCTTATATTCACTAGGAAGGTCAAAATTGAAAACATTTATATACATCAAAAAGTCAAAATACACAAGACTGTATTGAAATGTTTTTACATTAGTTTCACAATTGAAGCACTGTTTTAAAGTGGTGTCATATTGTAATTTTTGTATTTACTACCACCCGGTAAATCAAAAAATTACAATATGACAATGGGTTTTAAAAAATTCCTCTAATATATGTCTGTATCCAATTCTCAGACGACCATGTTATCATACATGTACACGTACTTGAATGTACATTATGCTTGGAATCTTCTTTATTCTACGAGTAAATTTTGAAAAGAATTTCTCAAAGAGATTCCCACTGTTTTTAAATAAAATTGAATCCACATAATACACGGACGATATTTTTCAGACATGCAGAAATTTTATGTCGTTCTTACATGTATATGATTGCCACGTCTGATTCATATTTGGACGTTCT